TTCAAGACCCTGGGTCAAGAGGGAAAAAAAGAATCTAGCAGACCACACTCAGGCTTGTAAAGCTCCAACTCAGGAGAGATGCAGGCCACTTCCCTATTTCACTGCCCAAAGCAGCTCTGACGACTATGCCCAATTTAAAAAGGGACAGGAGTGCCAATCCACCCCGTGCACAGGAGGTGGAATTTGGGTATGTGAGGTCAGCACTGAGACCTCCCTGGGGCCATTTGGGGAATGGTGGCTGGTGCTGGAGTTATCGTTCATCATAACCTTTAGGCTGACTCCAAATGGGGAAAAGTGGCATGTGGGACCACATTCTAGGCAGGGGACCGGCATGCACATATCCAGAGCCTGGAAGGCGCCTGCCTTGCTGGGGACATTGCAGATGTTCAGGGAAGAACATGGTGCACACAGGGAATTGGCCAGAGATGCAGTTTGGAGCTGTTCCGTGAAGACCTCTGGATGTAGACATTAGCATGGGGCAGCGGGGAGCCTGGAAACATGGTAAGCAGGAAAGTGAACAGGGTCCGCTTTTGGCCCGTGTGAGGGAGGGGTGAGCCCCTGAGTTCTGGTAGGGCAGTGAGGCTGGTGGGAGGAGGGGGGTTTGTGAGCTCTGAGGGTTAGTCAGCAGGACTGGAAGTTCGACGGGACATGACGGCTTGAGGGGTGATGGGTGGAGGCTGACTCCAGTCCGTCCTGAGTGGGGATGACGAGGAGGGCCAGTCTCAGCTGCCAGAGAGGGTGTGAGTGCCGCACTGGAGGTGGTGAGCTGCTAAAGTCACAGACAATGACAGTACTTTGTTTCGGGAGGCTTGGGAGCAAGAGGAACTTCTTACCTCCTTGGTGAACTCTTTGACATCAGCTCAGCATGCATAGACCCCGTTGCCCGCAATCCCCCGCTGAGTACACACACCCGATAGAAGTGAGCAAAGGTGCATGCTGAGACGTAGCTTTAGTCATAACCTCCAAACCGAAAGCAAGCCAAGTGCCCATCCACAGGAGGAGATACCGCAGTGCATTTCCATGATGGAATATTACCCAACAATGAAAAAATGAATAGATTAAAACCACAAATACGCCATGATGAGTGAGCCTCTGAAACAGAGTGTGGAACAAAACCAGATCCCCAAACACTCATACTCTGTGGTTCTCTTTGTGGAAAGCCCACCAGGCAACAAAGTCACAGTGTTAGAAGTCAAGCTAGGGCTCTCTGTGGGGTGGACAGAGTGGGTCACAAGGAGGTCTCCGGAGGATGGCGGGGTCTTCTTTTCCTGACTGGGGTGGTGGTTAAACAAGTGTTTGCTCCGTGGTCGTTCAGTGAACTGTACTTCTAACCTTTGTACGCTTTTCTGTACACCAACTAAACATCAGTTGAGACGAGTGGACTGAGACCCAACATTTCAGGGACCACCAGAAGGGGCATAACTCGGTAAGCAGCCAAGAGGCAGAAGATGGCGGGGTCCCGGAAGCAGAGGGAAGGAGTGGTGGGGCGGCCCCGCAGGGTGGAGGCTGCAGAGAGAGCTAAGGGAGGGGGCCAGCAACTTCACTGGTTCCAGGAACAGGAAAGTCGTTACTAACCCTGCTGAGACCAGTTTCCCTTTGGGGAGGTGGGCGGGGTAGGATGATGAGAAGAGGTCAGGCTGGTGGAGGGCTCTGTCAGCGAGTGTGGGGGGGTGCGGAAGAGGAGATAGTGAATGCAGATGTGTCCTTTGGCACTCTGCTCTTGAAGGGGGAAGGGACAATGTTGACAGCTAGAAGGGAATTCGGAGTCAGGTCTGTTTTTTATTTTATTTTCTTAAAAGATTTTATTTATTCACTCGAGACACAGAGATACAGAGAGAAAGAGAGCATGAGCAGGGGGAGAGGCAGAGGGAGAGGGAGAAGCAGGCTCCCTGCCCAGCCAGGAGCCCGATGCGATGCAGGACTTGGTCCCAGGACCCCGGGATCATGACCAAGCCGAAGGCAGACGCTTAAGCATCTGAGCCACCCAGGCGCCCCCAGGTCTGTTTTTTAATGTGGAAAAAAGACCCAAGCAGGCTTTGCTGTGGGGAGCCCCCAGGGGGATTGCTGACAAATTTCACTTTATCCCAGAGGTTGTCCCCACACCCACTTTGTACAGGAGACCCCCCTCACCACCCATCTCCATCCCTGCCTGACCTGTATGTTATATGCTCACTTCACCTTGTTGATCTTGCCCCGCTAGGGGGTCAACCCCATGGGAGCGGGGAGTTTTATCTGTTCTGTTCCCCATGTTAACCCTGTGCTGGGAATGTGACTGTACACAGTAGAAACATTTGTCGTGGACAGATGAATGCGGAGGCAGACAGAGAGAGAGGCTGGTGATAGGAGGACCAAGGGGCAGGATCTGGAGCTCAGCCCTGTACTGAGGGGGCAGGGACATTTGGAGACACAAAGAGGAAGCAATGGATTGTACCAGGGTGATTGCGGGCGGGGTGGGCAGGAGGTTGAGGGAAGGGCCTTGGTTCTGATTGGGGGGGTGCTTCAGGAGAAAAGAGGAGACAGTCGGGAGGAGCCTGGAGGAAGTCAGAGAAGACTGCACTGCTAGAAAGTGCAGAGGGGCTGATGTGCCCTGGGCCCCAGCAAGGTTGGAGATCATCAACCCGGGGGGTCCCCTGCTTGGCTCAGAAGCTGACAAAGGGGTGTGTTGTTGTGTTGGGTCAGGCCAGGGTCGTTTCCACGGGGATCCAGGGCATCCTGGAAGATGGGGTGGGTGCTTCCACAGAACTGACAGATGGGGACGATGGAGGGGTCTCCCTAAGATCAGAGAGGAGACAAGTCTCAGCGTGCTGATGGTAACAGCTACCATTCCAGAGCATGGACGAGGCCAGGCCCCTACTGAGCAGGAACTGGCCACACCAGCTCTGTGATCACGTCCATTTCACAGGCCAGGTTGTGTTTGCCGGCCCCCTCCCTTTCAGGACTTGAACCCAGCCGGTGGCTTCCAGAGCCTGAGGCTGTAGCCACTTTGCTACATGGAGCTAAAGAGGCGAACAGGGTATGGACAGAGAGCGGGGTGCTGGGCTCTGGATGTGAGGTTCAGGCAGCCCAGGCATGAGGGAGAGAGCAGAATGGGCCAGGCTGCCGGGGGGGAGAGGACATGGACGTCAGCTTCCTTCACAAGGAGGTGCAAGTGCACCCAGAGCACATCTGACCTGCATTTACCTGGTCCAGGACTGAACCTGCCACACCTGTGCTCTGAGGAGGACGTTGTGAACAAGCTGAGGGTCTGACAGGTGGGGGGGGGGCATTCAGGAAGCAGGTGGTGGTGGTGGCACAACCTCCAGGACTCCAACCACCAGGGCTCCAGCCCTTTCCATTACACCCAGAAGGGGCGGGGAGGGGGGCCCACCTCCCCCTGGTCCATTTGGGCATTTTGGTCCCATGAAAGCCCAGCTCTAGCTGCCAAACTCCCACTCCCCAGCAAGAAACCCCAGGCAGCGTCCACCTGCCCCAGTCTCCCTGACCCCACCCTCCTGCCCCTGCCTCTTCTGGATTCCCCTGGCCCCCCTGCAGTCTGGAGTCCCCAGAAAACCGGCTGAAAGAAGCAGAGCCTCATACAATTTTGGGACTGAGGGATCCCGGCTCCCTCTCCCACCTGGGGCTGAAGGCCCCTCAGTATTTCTTACTCCTCTCAGGCAGCCCCCGCCTTTCCTCCCCCTCCCTTTCCAAAGAGGTTTTCTGAGCAGGTAGGAAGGTACTGGGGGTCCATCCTCCCCCCCCCGAAACCCCCAGTGCGACCTGTGCTCCCCGCAGGGAACTCGATCGCTCAGGTAAGGGGTTAGCTTGGACAAAAGAGGGACTACTTTTTGAGGGTCTGCTCTGTGCCAGGCACTGTGTGCGATGCGGCCCCACGCTGGTGAAAACGGAAAGGAGGCAGGAGGGTCCTGTTTGCCAGAAGCCCTGGGTTTGGTGGAGAGGGAGACTGGCAGAGGGACCCGTTTTCCAGCCTGTTTTTGGAGTGCACCCAGCGCTGTTTCTACACTTTATCTTTACCAGTAAGTAGAGAGATGAACAAGAGAATAGATCATGGAGCTCTGCCTGGGGGAGGCCAACTACTCCAGGCAGCTCATCCAGAGTTTCCCCGCCCGGTCCGACCCCTCCCCTGCCCCCCTCCCCAGCTTCTTCCCACGGGTCCAGTTTTGCCCTCCAGAAGGTCCTCTACTTGTCTGACCCACCCTCCTCTACCAACGAATGGGACCCTTGTCCGCCCTCCCTCCCCACTTCTGAGGTCTTCCAGGCTCCAATGTGCCACCTTCAGCCGCCCCCATCCCCTCCCTGTCCTTCCGGTGGCGGCCCGCCCGCCCTACCTCTTCGAATCCCTCCATCATTGGGCATCTCTTCCATAATTCCGGCACCTGGGCGGCCAAGGTGCCCCCCAAAAGCTCAGCTGACCAGC